TTTTACGTTCATGTAAATAATTCAGGCTGCAAGACCATGTGACGGAAAGTGCCTGTTCACCTATTTAATTTATAATTACATTCAAATGCGAGGCCTGTTTTTTTTTTTAAAAAACTCTTTTTAACACGCTGAATTAACACACTCTTGCATATTCATTACTGAAGTTTATGGAGCTTGTGCCAAGGCAGCACAAATTCTCAGATCTTTAGTGAGAAAAAAATCATGAACTTAACTAAGAAGAGAGCAGGCCATAAAACTAGCCAACCTAAGAATGTCTTAAAATGTGGTTAAGATTGCCTAAGTTTACATTCCAGATGCCATGCGTGTTCACACTATACTCTCTGCAGAAATGACCCTGCATTCCAACCTTTGTTGTTTGGAATTTGCAGGTCCTCCAGAAAGAGAATTCTTTTAAGTGTTACTTCTATTTTTGGACGTGGTCTGTTCTTTATATAGTAAATTAGTGCTTCCCCCCCCCCCCAAGTTGTAGGCGACTATATGACTCATGTTGTTATCTAAAACAATTATATTGCTCTCTATGTAATCAGGGCAAGATAAAGCTAAGGACGAATATGTGGAGCAGAAGTATTTTGATGTAATGCCTTCTCCTTAAGTACACATTGTTAAATGGATGCTTAGGTGTGGATTGCAGTTTCTTAGGCTTGACCATGAAAGAGAGGGCCATGGATTTGCATTGCATAAAAAATAGTTACCTGAACACAGATTCAGTGAGAATAAAGGCCATGACTGGGTGTATTTTTTTCCCCTGGTGGCTTCTTTTAATTGCTATAGATTTGGTTCCTTTCAGAGCGTTGTTGGTTCAGGCCTGCCAGCTCTTATAGGCAGGAAGTCAGTGTGAATAGATTGCACCATGTTTACATTTATGCCTTTATGTTTTTAATAGTTGGCAATTTTCTTAAGGCAGCTTGCATCCTTTTCGAATCCTGTCATTACAAAAAAATTAAATCACGACTAGCATAAGACGTTTAATAATCACTGGCTCCCATCTCAATGTTAAGCTTTTGTGAGACGTCAATGAGAATAATGTGAGATTTCAGTCGTTTAAAAATCACATTTAAAAAGTATATTTAGAGTTTAGCACCACAGAAGCATAAATAGTCAACATTAAAATGCCACGTAAATGTAAATTTGCCTCAAGGTGAAGACACACTTATGTAGGCACCAAGTGAACTATTTTGAGATGTGCAAGAATTAGAGAAGCACTGAAAAAAAAACCCACTAATTGCACTTGTGCATAAGCCAGGCATCTGGAGCAAAGTTTTCAAACAGATGAAGTTCAAGGTATCCCAAAGATGCAATTGGACTTTCTTGTTTTTTCTTTGAAGATTTTTCACTTCTCATCCATGAAGTTTCTTCAGCTCTGATTGGATGGTGGGCAATGGAAAGATTTATACTCCTTGCAGACAGCTAGTCATTTGCATTCTTTTAGCGAGTCATTAATGCTACCTAGAGCAGTGGTTCTCAACCTGTGGGTCGGGACCCCATTTGGGGTCGAACAACCATTTCACCGGGGTCGCCAAACAAGGCTGTCCGCCATTTTTTCCCCTTTTCTTTGGCCACGCCCCTGGCACCCGGTGATGTATAAGTGGTTGGGGGTCACCACAACATGGGGAAGTGTATTATGGGTTCGCGGCATTAGAAAGGTTGAGAACCACTGACCTAGAGGCTTATCTGTGTCTTCAGGGTCACCCAAGTAGTGCAAATGTATGTGGAGACTTCTTGGAACTATTGAAAGGACTGTGTTGTAGACTGCAGATAGGTGATATTGTATCCCTCCCCCTCTGTTGAGAGAGGGCTGTACAATTTTGAGATAGATTATCTCTTTGATGGCCTCTTTCAAACTGCTGAAGCGAAACGCCTTCAAAGAAAGAAACAAAAAAAGTCCAGTTGCCTCATAAAAAAGCATCTTTGGGATAACTATCACCTTTTGTTGTTAATTGCGAAGTCGTGTCCCACCCATCGCGACCCCATGGACCACGTTCCTCCAGGCCTTCCTGTCCTCTACCATCTTCTGGAGTCCATTTAAGCTCACGCCTACTGCTTCAGTAACTCCATCCAGCCACTTCATTCTCTGTCGCCCCCTTCTTCTATTGCCTCAATCTTTCCCAGCATCAGGCTCTTCTCCAGTGAGTCCTTCCTTCTCATTAGGTGGCCAAAGTACTTGAATTTCAACTTCAGGATCTGACCTTCTAAAGAGCAGTCAGGGTTGATCTCCTCTAGGACTGACCGGTTTGATTGCCTTGCAGTCCAGGGGACTCGCAGGAGTCTTTTCCAGCACCATAGTTCAAAGGCCTCAATTCTTTGTCGCTCAGCCTTTCTTATGGTCCAACTTTCACAGCCATACATTGCAACTGGGAAAACCATGGCCTGGACTATACGCACTTTTGTTGGCAGGGTGATGTCTCTGCTTTTTAGAATGCTGTCTAGATTTGCCATAGCTTTCCTCCCCAGGAGCAAGCGTCTTTTAATTTCTTGGCTGCAGTCCCCATCTGAGGTGATCTTGGAGCCCAGAAAAATAAAATCTGTCACTACCCCCATTTCTTCCCCATCTCTTTGCCAGGAATTGAGTGGGCTGGATGCCATGATTTTGGTTTTCTTAATGTTGAGTTTCAAGCCAACTTTTGCACTCTCCTTCTTCACCCACATCTATGACCTAGATGACTGAGAATCTCCATAGACACGAAATTCATGGGTTTCTTCAGATACTGTGGTGGATCAGCACTTGTTTGATTAAAATGGCTGAGTTGTCTCAGCGTTCTCTAAGAGAGGAGCTTTAGGTCTAGTGCTCTATTCAATGAGGACACAATTCATGAAGTCTCCAATGCCCTTATTAAGGTTGTAAAGTCTGGTCAAGTGCACAAAGAAAACACTTGGCCGGGTTTTCTTGGCCAAGTCCCCGAGCACATGGTTAAACAATCTTGCAGTTACAGTTCAAACAGAAGGAAATACAGAAAAAAAACTGCATTGAGTCTCACAAGCATCTAATTAGTTATGTTCTTTCCTGTGCTACTGAGAAATCAAGAACTTTCCTATTTACTTGGCCACTAATTGAAGTTATTGTATAAAGATCAAGGATAAACCCGTATAAAAGATTGTAGTAATCTATACAAGAAGTTATAGTAGGAGTGGTACTAGAGTAGAACGTCACTTGATAAAAATTTGCTGGCTATATTGGGGCCTCTAATGGTCAATTCAATCTAAAAGAGCTCCCAAGATTTAAACATATCATTAATGAGAACACAACTCTTCCGTTATGGGTTGAGCACCCAACTCAATCAGATACACAATAGACTGGCTACCTTAAACTTCACATAAGGACTGAATCAACAAATATGACTCCCACACCCATATATTCTACCACACCCTCCCATTCTTCAACCTTGTAAGTACAGAGTACCAGGGATAACTACAAGGTATAGTAAAAAAAAAAACAAGTAAGATGGCAGCCACCCTGCCATCTAAAAAGATAGTGCACCCTATCTTTTTAGGTGCACTACAATCTTTATTTTTAATCCATGGATACCCCTGAATGTAAATTTAAGCATTTTAAACCTCATTTTATGGTATCTCTACATTTGCTAGATTTATCATTACTGGACATAAACATAAGAAAGTGCACCAATGAATGTGCAACTGTGTTAAGTAAACAAGTTAGAAAAAAACCAAAACAGAATAGGGCATTACATTTGGATGTAATGCCCCACTGAATGGCTAAATAAGATGCCTAAGAGTATGCTAATTATTTTCTGTGATGGAAGCACAGAAACAAAAACAAAACAGGGCATTACATTTGGACGTAATGTAAATTACTGAGGATGCTCTTAGTACTGTATTATGTATTTATTTATCAAATTTCTACACTGCCCATCTCATCTAAGTGAGTTTGGGCAGTTTACAATAAAACTGTCCAGAATAATGTCTTCAGGCCTTGAATCTGAATGGTGGGTTGCAGGAACCAGACGAGAGCAATACTGGAGGGAAAGTGTGAGAGGCATGTTCAGAAAGAACTGGGGCAGGAGTTGGGGAATGGAATTTAGACCCCATGGAAATCCATACGAATATTTTATTTTACAGAATATGATCTGTAACCCTTCCTTTACCACTAGAACAAAGAAAAACTCTTTTGCTTTGGAACCAACCCTTTTTTAATGATCAGATAGCCTGGAGCTTCCATTCACAAGAGCCAAGTGCAAATACTGCATATGTGCAAATCCTTCTCTTGTAAACAGTGTGTTTTGAAGAGCACAGCAACAGATGGCTTCTGCACATATTCATAGAGAAAAATAGCAGGGCAACTGACATTATACTTCTCCAGCCTCAAAGAGAAGTATAATGTATAAAGAGATGATTAATTGTTTAGTCTCTTTCTCTCTCTCTCCCCTCCCTCTCCAATGTTCTTAAATTTGGTGAAACTCAGCCTAAATTCTCATACACTTTTCAACTTTCTATCTGATGGCCTTCTTGAACCAGGGACATCTATGGGGTGTGTCAAAAAAAGTCCACAATAAAAACTCTGTCCCTTTTTACATGGGTTTTGACCACCATCTTGATTTTTTTTTTTTAAAGCTCTGTGGACACTCCTGACCAGAAGACTCACAGGATGGGAGGTGGATGAGGTAAAAGGCACAAATGATGAAAGCAGCATTCATCTGTCAGCTGAATCCTTACAGACAAAAGGAGTTGAATTTGTGTCATAGCAGCCCAAAGGTGCTTTCCTTATGTTTGATGGAAACCTTTGTAGCTATCTTTGATCTAAACCAGGGTTTCCCAATCTTGACAATTTTAAGTACAACTCCCAGAATTCTTGAAGTTGAAGTCCACGCATGTTAAAGTTGCCAAAAGCAAACAAAAGTTTAAGCAAACAAAAAAACTGGGGGTGCTTTACTGATTTTGAATTGATCTGGTTTTTCCAAATCAAGTCAATTTCCAGGATCGTGACAGAATTTCAACACTTCGATTCCTGGTGTGATTTCACTGACCTTGTATGACCATGTCTTGCTGTGCTTTCTCCTTCTGCTCCGAAACCACGTTGATGGATGCTTTCTGCGTGTGACAGTGCTGAAAATTCCAGCAACTTGTAGTATGGAAGGAAAAAAAACTGCCATTTAAAGTGATTTCCAGAGTGGAATAGCAGGAACTATCCTAAGTAAATATTGTACTTCAGAGCAATTAAACAAGGATGGATGCTCACTGTCCTGGTTCCTCTTAGCCCTGTTCTGGCCTGGCAATTAATTCGGGCCAATGAGGAGGGCTGTTTTCCGGAATACAGTATCAGTTATTACTTTATGATTTATTAGACTGACATCCACATTTTTCTTCAGGAATTCCAGATGGCATCCATGATGGTCCTTCCTCATCCCCCCCCCCCCAAAAAAAAACAACAGTCCTCTCAGGAGGGCTTAGCTGAGAGACCCAACATAATCAAATGACCTTCCATGGCTGAGGATGGACTTGAACTGAATCCCCACAATTTTAGTCCAACCCTTTAAAAACATGAAAGGGTGGCAAAATGATTGTTATTTAGTTTATTACTAGTATACTTTTAAGCCTGAGAGGAGTAGGAGTAGGAGTAGGAGTAGGAGGAGGAGGAGGAGGAGGAGGAGGAGGAGGAGAAGAAGAAGAAGAAGAAGAAGAAGAAGAAGAAGAAGAAGAAGAAGAAGAAGAAGAAGAAGAAGAAGAAGTAGCAGTAGTAGTAGTTGGAAGGGACCTTGGAGGTCATCTAGTCCAACACCCTGCTCGGGCAGGAAACCCTACACCATTTTGGACAAATGGCTGTCCAGTCTCTTCTTAAAAACTTCCAGAGTTGGAGCATTCACAGCTTCTGGAGGCAGGTTGTTCCACTGGTTAATTGTTCTCACTGTCAGAAAGATATTGTGGCATGTTCTGCTTCAGGTGTTAAAATAATAACATAACTTTGACTCTGTGATTTGTGTCCATCTCTCCATATATATATATATATATATATATATATATATATATATATATATATATATATATATATATATATAGTTATATTAAGCATAAATAAAATGGTTATGGAGAGATATACATACATACATACATACATACATACATACATACATACATACATGGTTATCTTGAGTGTTTTTTGATGCACCCTGTTGGCCCAAATATGGGAGGAAGAAATTTGGTTATATAAGCATACATAAAATGGTTTGGAGGGATTGGAGTCTGATGAGCATAATGATGAAAAATCTTATATTTAAAAGGATTTTGGCATTTTTTCCTCTCAGAAAAAAAGATTATAATGAACAGATGTAATTATGTAAAGAAAAAACATGTTTAATACTTACTTGGCACGTGCTAGCAGCTAGCAGAAAGCAATGTCTTCTTTAAATATTTCCTGAGAGAGAGAAAAAAAAAAACAAGCCTTAATATGTTAATGCTTGAAGGAGTTTTTTGTTTTCTATTTTAAAGCCATTTTTTAACCTGTTGCCTTGGATTCTTTCCCTCAAATATCCTTAAATTCTTATATAGAAAATGAAAGCTCTAAACAATCCTGCTAGTAAAATAAGCACAGGAATAACATATATATCAGGAAATTCACCTCACAGGATTGTTGTGGAGAAAATGAAAAGAGGAAGGAATATTAAGTACGTTCGCCACCTCGAATTATTTATAAAAATATGAAAGGTGGGATAAAAAAAAAATCTAAATCTAAAATTAGTCCTTATGGGTAGTTTACACTTTACCAGGGAGAAGACTTTAGGTAGGGAAACAACAAAACCAGAATAAAACTAGGTATCTGTCAGAAACAGTCAATACCACAAAGGCAGCATTAGATGTGGTGAAACTAAATGAATGAAGCTGAGATGATCAACCAGACTACTTTCCTGCTCCAGTGGATGACTGAAAATCAACTGAAATAAAAACATAAGGCATGCATCAAGAGCCCAGTCTGGTGTAGTGGTTAAGTACAAACTAGGAGACTTTGAGTTCTAGGCCTTCTTCAGTCATGGCAGCCGGCTGGCTGACTTTGGGCCAATCACTTTCTCTTAGCTCAGTGGTTCTCAACCTTTTTAACGCCACGACCCCCCAACCGGTCGTAAGTCGAGGACTACTCAACCGGTCCTAAGTCGAGGACTACTCAACTGGTGCAGCACTATTTGCAGAATGGGACTTTTGGCGGGCTCAGCAGGGCAGAGACAGCCTGGACAATTCCTATTGGCTTTTGAAAGCCAATAGAACTAGACTCTATTCAAGAGAGTCTATTCTATTGGCTTTCAAAAACCAATAGAATAAAAGGGAGTAGCACAGCTAAGGAAAAGGGGAAAAAAATGGCGGACTGCGTTGTTTGGTGACCCCTGTGAAATGGTCGTTCGACCCCAAATGGGGTCCCTACCCATAGGTTGAGAACCACTGTCTTAGCTCAATCCACCTCACAGGATTGTTGTTTTGGGGGAAACAGAGATGGAAGCACTACGTATGTACAGTGCCTTGAATTGATCAAAATAAAAGTGGGTTAAATCAAATAAATAGGAACTAGCCCTTTTTACAGTGTATACGTGAATAGAATAGAATAGAATAGAATAGAACAGAATAGAAGCTGGAAGGGACCTTGGAGGTCTTCTAGTCCAGCCCCCTGCTCAAGCAGGAGAACATTGCCACATTCTATGCTAGGGGTGTTAAACTGCCGGCCCGCAGGCCGGATGCATCATAGTGAAACTGTGTCCACTGCCGGCCCGCGGGCCGGATTCATCATAGTGAAATTGCGCCCACCCCATTGCCGGCAATGGTAAAAAAGTTGCGATACGTCACGACATATCACGTGACGTTGGAAGTTTGACACCCCTGCTCTACGCCGATTTCCAGCAGCAATCTAACCTGGTACTCAGAGCCATAAAAAAAGATTTGAGATTTGTGGGTACAGTATTGAACTGAGCCCATGAAAATAGCTATAATAATTTTATAGCACATTGGATTATTTGGTCCACCCTAAAATCCAATCCTTTCCTCTCCTCTCCTCCATTCATATAGATCAGCGGTTCTCAACCTATGGGTCGTGACCCCATTTGGGGTCGATCGACCATTTCATGGGGGTCGCCAAGCAAGGCTGTCCACCATTTTTTCCCCTTTCCCAGCGGGTGCCTTACCTCCCTTGGGCTGGGCCAGCTGGTGGCCCAGCCGGTGGTCGGCCTGCTCCGTCTCTGCCGCTTGCCAGCTACACCTCAGCGGCGCAGGGGGCGGCACCATGCATGCGTGGTGCTCCTGGGCAGGGAAAGTCCTCGACTTACGACCGGTTGGGTAGTCGTCGACTTACGACCAGTTTAGTCCTTGACTTATGGCCGGTTGGGGGTCGCGGCATTAAAAAGGTTGAGAACCAGTGATATAGATTCTTTCCTTCTTTCCTTCCTTTTATTCAAATAGACCCTCCCCTTCTCTTTTTCCTTTCTTCCTATCCTTCCCTTCTCCTTTCCTTTCCTCTTTCCTTTTCACTACCCTCCCCTCCCTCCCTCTCTCTCTCCCCTCCTCCTCCTCTGCTCCCCTTCCCTTCTTTCTAAAATCAAATTTGAATATCTGCTTGTTGTTCTACCTTCAAAAGCCATAGTAAAGTAAGGCCAGTATCCCATTCTGTGTTTCTGTGACCGAGAAAGGTGGCCGGACAGATTGCAGCTTCGCCCTTCTCTGGCCCAACAGGACATGTATTACATTAAAAAAAGAAATCGGGAATCGGGAAAGCTAGCAAGCCACAAAAGCGTTCAAAAGTGATAAAAATCTTAATGTAGCTGCAGAACCTTAGTCAGCCTTCTTCTAGGGGAAGGAGAAGAAAATTAGACTGCTTCCAGATTGCCTTAAAAGCCAACCCGCTTTTATGTGTGCCTGTTTCGCTGAGTTCCCTCCTTCCTCCTCCATTTCGTAATGAAGATCCTATCTCACACACAATAAGCTTCAGCCCTGCCAACCAGCCAAGCTAACCCTTAGTACAAAGCAAAGTTGTACTTTGCATTTAATTTCTTTGCATTTAATTTCTTTTCATTTAATTTCTTTGCATTTAATTTCTTTTCAGTTCTGGCTCTCATCCTTTTTTGTCCTACGGTGGTTTGAATGAAGCAGCTTTCTGCTACAGCAGCAACTACAGAGTGGATTTTCCCTGTGGTTTCTGATCTGGCTCTGTTTGGAGAAAGATGCCAGAAAATCCCCATGCTGGGGGTTGCTACTACAGCGGTGGATTATTATTATTATTGTTATTTGCAAAGAATTTACAGGTTGTAAAGGAGCCTCCCTGGGGAGGAAAGCTATGGCAAATCTAGACAGCATACTAAAAAGCAGAGACATCACCCTGCCAACAAAAGTGCGTATAGTCCAGGCCATGTTTTTCCCAGTTGCAATGTATGGCTGTGAAAGTTGGACCATAAGAAAGGCTGAGCGACAAAGAATTGAGGCCTTTGAACTATTGTGCTGGAGAAGACTCCTGCGAGTCCCTTGGACTGCAAGGCGTTCAAACCGGTCAGTCCTAGAAGAGATCAACCCCGACTGCTCTTTAGAAGGCCAGATCCTGAAGTTGAAACTCAAATACTTTGGCCACCTAATGAGAAGGAAGGACTCACTGGAGAAGGGCCTAATGCTGGGAAAGATTGAGGGCAATAGAAGAAGGGGACGACAGAGAATGAGATGGCTGGATGGAGTCACTGAAGCAGTAGGTGTGAACTTAAATGGACTCCAGAAGATGGTAGAAGATAGGAAGGCCTGGAGGAACGTTGTCCATGGGGTCGCGATGGGTCGGACACGACTTCGCAATTAACAACAACAAAAAGGAGCCTCTCCCCACATCCCTCCAGCAACGACACAGGAGGAACTGGCCCATGTGTGTCGGTTCATATGGCTTCTCCATTAAAACAGAGGTTCAGCATTTCAACAACAAGTTGCTTCCAAGAGACTTTGAAGAACAACAGTTACTTTTAACTTTTGCTTATTCTTTCAGAAGGTAAGCTCCACATAGAAATCCTCGTTGGATAACCTCAGAGAGCTTAGGAAAGACTTCAAGCTTTGGAAAAAAATTGTGAAAGGTTAGAATAACCTTTAGAGTTAGAATTAGAATAACATTATTAGAATAACATTATGACTAAGTTGGAACCAGGCTTGGCCTGGTACTTACCACCAAAAGGAATTCTCTGTTGTTCCTCATTAAAAGTGTACAGAGTTCACCAGGTGATGGGCTTCCAACACAGCTGGTTACACACATCTGAGCCTCTGCTTTGCCACAATGAGAAAAACAGCATCCACGGCAGACATGTAGCCTGTCAAACAGACAGTTGGGGTTTCACGATCCAGCAGGCCCTCTGTCACCCCAACTCACATAAAGGCAATCTGCACATTCTGAAAATTCAGAAAGAGGAGGCGAATGTGTATACGTATCTAGCTCCCAATTCATGCCATCAGAGCCGGTGCAGAAAAACCACTGCTTATGTTAGGAGCATATTAACTGAATTTAGCTTCTTTTCTAACATGCAAAAATGCCCAGGACACAGCCCTGTGAACCTTTAGGATTGATCCTCCTTCCGTTATGTATTCAAGATGAACAGTGAATAATATTTACATGTTACTTATACGTAAGGGCATAGGTCTATACATATGTTGCATATAGCATGTTTTAAATGTGTTATGTATGTGTGCACCTTGAGAGGAAGCAACTAAATTTCATTTTTAAGGTGCCATTGTGCCCACAGGAAAAAAAAACGACAATAAAGGTTATCTATCTATCTATCTATCTATCTATCTATCTATCTATCTATCTATCTATCTATCTATCTATCCATCCTAGCACATCTATCTATCTATCCATCCTAGCACATCTATCTATCTATCTATCTATCTATCTATCTATCTATCTAATCTATCTATCTATCCATCCTAGCACATCTATCCATGCATCCATCCTAGCACATCTATCTATCTATCTATCTATCTATCTATCTATCTATCTATCTATCTATCTATCTATCTATCTATCTATCTATCTATCTATCTATCTATCCTAGCACATCTATCTATCTATCTATCCTAGCACATTCATCTATCTATCTATCTATCTATCTATCTATCTATCTATCTATCTATCCATCCATCCATGCATCCTAGCACATCTATCTATCTATCTATCTATCTATCTATCTATCTATCTATCTATCTATCTATCTATCTATCTATCTATCTACCTACCTACCTACCTACCTACCTACCTACCTATCTAAATTTCTACTCCAGGTGTGGAAGCGATGCAGTCTTTCTGTGAGGGTGGTAACTTTCTGTTTCAACAGGGTGTCCTCTGACTTTCAATGTCTCTTTAAGGCAAGAATTCGAGAACCAGGGCCCATCGAAAGCCGCGCTGCAAAACCTTCCACCTTCGCGGCCCCTAGCAGTTATCTGGAGAGGGAAGGGGACATTTGATTCAAACCGACAGGCGGTACAACGCGAACCGACAGCCAAGACCGGGTTAAAAAAAACAAAAACCAAACGTTTCCTGCCCACCTAGTAGGAACTGTGATTCACGTTGCCCACGGCAGAGACAGACCGCGGCGTTCTTCCTGACTTCACCCTGCGCCCGGGGACCTGCCTCCCCCGCCAACCTGTCCATCCTCCAGGGCTGGGGAATCAGGTGCAATCTCGGTCGCCAAGTCCCATTCCAGGGGCGTGGATCCGGGGGCGGCTCAAGAGGGGCAGCGGGAAGAGCCCCCCCCCAAAAGAATGAAAAAAGGGGGGGAGCCGCGCATTGGACCCCCCCCCATTGAACGGAGGCGACCCCCTCACTTGCAGCAAAACTTGCCCAGGAACGCGAGCCCGGGAGAGGCGGGGCCAGGAGTGGGGCGGGGCGGCCGCAGCGTTGCGGCTTAGATTCTATTGGTTGCACGGAGCAGGAAAGAGGCGGGGCGGATCTTTTCCCGGGAAACCGGTGGGGTGGGGGGAAGAGGAGGAGGAGGAGCCAAAGGAAAGAGGAGAAAAAGGTGTTGCAGAGGCGAGGCTCGCGCGTCGTTGCTGCTGGCCGTAGTCGGCGACTCGTGGCGCTGCTTGGGCTTCTCCTGCTTGAGCAGGGGGCTGGACTAGAAGACCTCCAAGGTCCCCCTTTAGCCTTTCATTCCCGGCGGCGTCCCTGCAGCTCTGGTCGCCTTTCCTGCAGCAGCTGCGATGCGCCTGATCCAGAACATGGGGACCATCGCCGAGTATCCCCAGGCGGAGAACGCCAGCCGCGGAGACGGCTGCGCCTCCGGGCGCCCTCGGCTCATCAAGATCGCTGTGGTGGGCGCCAGCGGGGTGGGCAAGACCGGTGAGTATTGTTGGGCGGCTGGTGGGGGACGGGAGAGGAGGAGCCCCCCCTGTTTTTTCATTTATTTTATTTTGGCAGGAAGAGGAGCCCCCCCCCACACCATTTTTCATTTATTTTATTTTGGCTGGAAGAGGAGCCCCCCCCCCGTTTTTCATTTATTTTATTTTGACTGGAAGAGGAGCCCCCCCACACCATTTTTCATTTATTTTATTTGGGCTGGAAGAGGAGCCCCCCCCAGTTTTTCATTTATTTTATTTTGGCTGGAAGAGGAGCCCCCCCATTTTTTCATTTATTTTATTTTGGCTGGAAGAGGAGCCCCCCCCCAGTTTTTCATTTATTTTATTTGGGCTGGAAGAGGAGCCCCCCCATTTTTTTCATTTTGGCTGGAAGAGGAGCCCCCCCAGTTTTTCATTTATTTTATTTTGGCTGGAAGAGGAGCCCCATTTTTTCATTTATTTTATTTTGCCTGGAAGAGGAGCCCCCCCACCATTTTTTCATTTATTTTATTTTGCCTGGAAGAGCCCCCCCATTTTTTCATTTTGGCTGGAAGAGGAGCCTCCCCCCATTTTTTTCATTTATTTTATTTTGGCTGGAAGAGGAGCCCCCCCACCATTTTTTCATTTATTTTATTTTGCTTTGCGAGATGAAAGCCTCATCCTGCCGGTTTCACTCGAAGGAAATGCTTCCTCGTGCAGAAAACGCCTTTTCAAAGTTCAAAGGGAGCAAACCGACACTCCCGCTTTGAATTTGATTTCCCCAAAAAAACCAAAAACCAAAACAAAAACGGGGAGCGGTGGAATGTAGTAATTTGAATTGATATTAAACTGAGGAGGAGAGCTCTCGCATCCTACCTGTGTTCCCACACGTGCACGGATTTGAGATGGAGATGCGGGAAGAAAAAAATGGACATTTATCCCCCTCTTGGCATAATATTGAGCCACACACCCACACCCAGCACAAAAGGATGATAAGTTCGTATCTATTGAGAGTTGTTATTAAGGCTGATTCCCACTGGATTTTTAAGAGTAGGCACCCCAGTCATCTAAGCCTAAAGGTTTAAGGAGACAGAAAGCTAGAAAAAAAGAACTAGGAATTTAGATTTACCTGAACTTTCACACCTCTTTAATTATTGTACAGCCAGTTGCCCTGGCTCCCTTGAAAGACTAAATTCCTTTGGATTGCTCTATCCCAGTGGTTCTCAACCTGTGGGTCGGGACCCCATTTGGGGTCGAACGACCATTTCACAGGGGTCACCAAACAACGCAGTCCGCCATTTTTTCCCCCTTTTCCTTAGCTGTGCTACTCCCTTTTATTCTATTGGCTTTTGAAAGCCAATAGAAGAGACTCTCTTGAATAGAGTCTAAAAGCCAATAGGAATTGTCCAGGCTGTCTCTGCCCTGCTGAGCCCGCCAAAAGTCCCATTCTGCAAACGGTGCTGCACCAGTTGAATAGTCCTCGACTTACAACCGGTTGAGTAGTCCTCGACTTACGACCGGTTGGGGGTCGCGGCATTAAAAAGGTTGAGAACCACTGCTCTATCCACCGCTGATCTGAAATCTGTGTGTGTGTGTGTGTATGTGCGTGCGTGCAGAGGGGGGCACCAGACCATGCACACACCAGACTAGTGGTTTTAATAAGCCTTAAAATAGTGATAGCTTTTTTCTCTCCTCTTGATAAATGACATTTTTTTTTTTTTTGGTTAATTACAGCCCTGGTAGTGAGGTTTCTCACCAAGAGATTCATTGGAGATTATGAACGTAATGCAGGTAAGAAAGGCTCTGAAATATTAGCTTTTCCCCAACGGTCTTGTCAAACCGTGGATGTTCATCCTTGGGGTGAGGTGGGGGGCATTCATCATTATAGCAAGGGGACAAAGATTTTGCTCCTTACTTTGCACTAGGCATTGATCATCTGCTTTTGGGGGGGGAGAGAATAAGCATTCTGGGGCTTGCTTCACTCAAGCTGGGATGCCAGATCCCGCTCAGTCTTTTGACTTCTGACATCTTTTCCTTGGCTTCTGCCACCCACATACATCAGCCTAATGAAATGCATTCCAAGTTAAAAGATGTGGCTTTAAGCACCATCACTTAGTTCCGCTCCTCTCTTTATGTGTAATCAAGGTATTTATGCAAATAGGCTTTGGACTGAACTTTAAAGGGCTTTTGTTATTCTCCTGAAAAGGCAGACAAGCAAGGGCAGCCTTTCCCAGGAATTGCAGCAAAGTAAACGAGGGCAGGTGTGTGTGTGTGTGGGGGGGAGGAAGCCTCTCTAAGGCAGATTAAAATGAATGGGGGGGGGGAAGCAGTTTTTTCAATAGATGGCAGAGGCGGGAACAATATTTCCGATGCAATCTCCAATTCAGCTTCAGCTACCATTACGTATAGCTAGCTTCATCCCTAAAAATACAGATTAATTAGCATACATGGGTATCCAGAAGATGTGGTCAGGGATATCAAGGTATTGGCCTCAACTGGGTGATTGAAACTCTGCTGGCAAAACAGGTAGAGCTTCTATTATACTCCTGCGGCCTCCACCTTGACTTTTGATCACGCCCTGTGGATGCCGCTGGTAGCTTTCATTCATTGATGCACACTGGTTTATCCCATAAATATTAGATCCAGTAGTGCCAGCAAGCTAAAAATAACTAAAAACCAGAGCAACAGAGCAATTTGCAGCAAAATGAGTTTTGTGTTGGAGCAAATCTGGGTTTCCACTGCAGAGTACTAAAAAGCAGATGTGATTTTTCCATACTTTCTGGCAAATAACACAACAATGTTAAGTGAAACATCTAAAAATCTGACCCAGTCCAAAGTTTTGCCAAAATGCTGAAAAAAACTGAGATGTGTCCACGTGTAGGATACATGGCAACCTCATCTTGAGCAGCAATTATTTATTCTTGTGGAAGAATATGTAAACACATTTAATTTTCCTACTACAGTGTAATTGTTCTGTACATTTCCTGTTAACTACAAAGTGTGCTGTTGTCCTATACCAGTGTTTTTTCAACCTTGGCAACCCAGAAGTTGGAGATTTCTGGGAGTTGAAGTCTACATGTCTTAAAGCTGTCAAGACTGAGAAACACTGCCCTGTACAAAAGGGCCAGACAGCTAATAAATTCTTGTGCACCTGGCTTTAGTAGTAACTTTATACATAAAGTTAGTTTTATAAGCAAGCATGTATAAGTCATCCGACGTCAGCTAATTTTATGAGTGCTTCTGTTGCTTGTTTACCTCTCCATAGCTATTTATTCATTTAGGCTGCCATCTTATACATACTCAATTTAGTCCCATTGAATGGCTAAATAGGATGCCTAGGATTATGCTAATTATTTTCTGTGATGGAAGCATATGTCTAATAAAGTTAGGATGGTTCTCCCACCCCAATTTCAAAGCATGACATGTCAATTCTATTCAGTGTCAATTTTTTTTTAAAAGAAGTGTTTTTCATTTTGTAAATCCTTTCTTAAAATTCCATCTTTCCTTCTGCTTCTATTGCCAGGTAATCTGTACAGCAGACAGATTGAAATTGATGGAGAGCTGTTTGCAATTCAAGTACAAGATACACCTGGAGTACAGGTGAGTGGTTGCCTTGGCATTCCATAATTTAAAAGGGAGCCTCATTGCTGCTCAGCTTCAAGAATAGAGTGGAAGATGTTTGCTGAGAAGTAGGCCGACTTTAGGCAGGGGAGTCACGAAAATTCCTTTTGTTGCTAAGAAAGACTGTAAACAGTCAACGCCTGATAAATGGGCTGTATATAGTCTCCTGACAGTAAAGAGAAAACAACCCATTTGAGTTCAACTTTTGCCCACTTGAAAACACAGCAGTCGTTTAAGGAGGCAATCTTTCTAAATAAAGCCAGAAATGCTGCTAATGGGTAAAGAGCTGTTTCTTGGAAAACTAAGAAACATTTTTTTTCTCTTTTTGCTTCCCTAGAAATATTTTCATATTTTACGGCTGCGGCCCAATCAAGTGCCATTTAATAAACACGTAATTGAAGCAACTCACGGCACCAGCAGCTGTACTCATTAAAATGACTTTGGAGTGGATTTTGTAATATGGAAAGTGTAAATGGATAGACATGTGTAAGGTCAAAATTTGCCTTTTTGAACTGGGCAAGCCTCCAGCTTTAAATGTTTGCAGCTCATACCTTATTTCGCCTCCCCCTCCATTCCCCACTGGCTGTCTAGCCAGTTAATTTCCCATTCTTTGGCACCACAAATGATTTTACTTTACGGAAAGGGACGTGGGTCAGTTTTCTACTTGAATGCAGCAAACTTCAGAATAACCCAGTTTAGCCTGGGTTTTTGCTTGTTTAAGCAACAGGAAGGAGAGAGGGGAATAAACTTTGGGGAGGGGAGAATAAGGAACCGGGACAGCGTTAATGGAAGAGAGAGACTGTATCTGAAAGATCTGTAACTTTCATTTCGACCTTTGCAGCCAAATAATTTCTTATCCCCCCCCCCTTTTTTTTTTTAAACAGATGCACAGACACAGCCTGGATTGTAATGAACAGCTGAACAAGTGCCTTCGCTGGGCGGATGCAGTTGTAATTGTCTTTTCGATTACCGATCACAAAAGTTATGAACTCCTTGGCCACGTCCACCAGCATATACGGCAGGTGCATCCCGGAAATCGCGTGCCCGTCATTATTGTAGCCAACAAAGCAGATCTGCTCCATGTTAAAGAAGTAGAACCTCAGCACGGACTTCAGCTGGCCGGCTTGCTGGGCTGTAATTTCTACGAAGTATCTGTCAGTGAGAACTACAAAGAGGTATTCTGTGCCTTCCACAGCTTGTGCAAAGAAGTCAGCAAGCGGCAAGCCACGGGCACCCCAGAGAAACGGAGGAGTTCTCTCATCCCAAGGCCTAAGTCACCCAACATGCAAGACCTGAAGAGAAGGTTTAAGCAAGCTCTGTCGGCCAAAGTGAGGACCGTTACGTCTGTCTGAAAGGTTGAACTGGGTGGATGAAGGGTCTTCATGCCTCCTCAGAGTCCATTAGGTCCAATTCTGGTACATTTTGCTGGCAGCCGGGCAACCGAGCAAGATCAAAGAGAGGGAAAGTGTATGTGTGCAGGCAATTATTGGACTAGTGAATATCAAGCATTGCGCAAAGGAGAAACTTCACCAAAACTTGAATAAGTTCCTAAAGAAGAGATACACTGCATACTTTCACGCTGAAAGCAGGATATTTGAATGCATTCAGAACATTGCCTATTCTGTGACGGAGTTAGGATAGCTTAGTATTTGCTATCCTGTTACTTTAATTGTAGAAGAAGATGGGGGGAAATACTCAGAATGCCATCTTCTTTAATTGGAAACAGAGATCCTTATACTATTGAATTAGGGCTGGCTTCTTTTATAAATCTCCCTAGAGGTTTTACTTTTTTTTTACTCCAGTTCATGAGGTACAAGTATCTCTGTTCCAACAAAGCAGTAACAATCTTTGGTATAAAATGTCTGGGCATTATTAAGGGATTGTATTTGATTGTGATAAGATATACCGTGCTAAGAATGCTTACAATTTTTACAACTCTGTTATATTCTCAACATTTTAAGATATTCTGAAGATTGTCGGTCATCTGGTGCAACGTTGAATTTATTTTCAGATAAATCCAAATTAACAGATCTAAATATGGGTTGAAATTCATACAGTTTCGGTCCATGCTATTTCTTTGCTAGGTGTGGAGCAGATGTTTCATAGCTGAGCCATATCTCTGGTTGAGGCAGAAAGGACATTCCACAGTTATATCAAGCTGCCTTTTGTGATTATCTAGCCCAGGAGTAGGCAACCTTGGCTCTTTTATGATTCGTGGACTTCAATGCTGGCTCAGGAATTCTGGGAGTTGAAGTCCACGAATCATAAAAGAGCCAAGGTTGCCTACCCCTGATCTAGCCAAATGCTGGACCATGAGGCTTGTCCCGTAAAGCAGAACACGTCTAAAATAAGATATGCAAACATGACATTGATGCAGTTTAACAAAAAGCAACACTGTGCTTTCCCATTAAGCGGTAACTTATTTATTTTATGCTTCAGAAGCATTACCAGGATACAACTTCTTTATTTTTGTGTCATCATTAAATTAAACAATGTTTTCTCAAGAATTTGTTGTATTTTTCTAACCAGTTGCTAGGCAGTGTACACAGAAAAAACAAGATTCTGTTAGTGAGATTTCTATTGCCTGTGAAGCAAGGGAAAAAAAATGTATTACTGGAGGCGTGAAACAAATCATACAGGAACACAGGTCCATTGACTTTGTGAATGCTACACACCCATCAACTCTCTTGCCAGTATAGATTTCTATGCTACAACGAATTGTGCAGCTGCTATACAACTGCTACTGGCTTCTCAAATGCTTTTGTAACTACACGATGGCCAGTCTCCTTATTCAAGAGCTTCTGCTAAAAACCCCATGGGCATTACCCCTTTGCCACAACTTCCCCCAAAAGTCTACTTAGCACCAACATATCAAAAACACCAAAGCATCCTCAGCAGCTGTGGTATTAAAGACCAGGGAGGCCTTCCTTTGCTGTGAGGCTCTGCTTCCATTGTGCTGCAAGAGCTACAACTGAAGCATTCATGTTTGTGTGTCAAATAAGGCAAGATTAGCGGGTATGGCTACCTGAGCAAAGTCTCTCATTTTTAAGCATGCATTGCATGTGTAATGGAAAAAGGCCTCCATTTTGGCTTTTCCGGCACCTTCCCCTACTATGGACCATTCTGAACTAGAGGCTAAATCTATTCTCTACTGATAAAGGCAATAAAAGATGATAAGAAGCATCTCTGGAATTTTGCATGAACCATAATCTTACACAAAAGTCCCACCTAATTCAGCTTGTGTTCCAAATTAAGTTGTGTATATGACAGAGTCAGCCCATACCGGAATCCTTCGTTTAATGCAGGATTTAGTCTATTAGTTCAATACGACAGATCTGGCCTGGTAACCATGGGGACTGGGTTTACCTTTTCTCTAAGCACTTCAATTAAGTCGTTTTATAGCTGACTCTGGCTTGCCAGCTCATCCACTGATTATGATCCTAAGTAAATGCTCAGAAGTTTGCCCTTTTCCTGTCAGGCATGTTTCACAAAGTGGCCGTCTCCTGTTTGCTGAAATCTCAGGCTGCAGCCCAATTAAAATGGTCTTCAATAGGAGCTGTGAAAATTCTTTTAAAAAGGGCTGTTTTGCATCTGCTAGACTGGAGCATCGGTATCCTTGAAACGTGATCAGACAAAACTGCTGGATTTGGTTACATTGAAGAAGGCGGCATCTAGCTATATACTACTACTCCTATAAAACAAAGAATCAAAAGCTGCTGAAGCAAAGTCAACTACGCAATAACAATATGAAAGGTAAAACCCTGTCACAAACTGGCTTGGCGTATTAGGCACTGCTCCCCAATCTTAAATCATACCACCTTTATTATTCAGAAAATAAACGGCAAGAAAAACATTAGCCATGCTCTTTGCTTTGAACATGTAAACACAAACACTCTCTATACACTCTCACTCTCTGTGTGGGTGATGTTTAAAGAAATGGACAGCAACTTTTTCCCCTGGGGATATTTCTCTGAACATCCCACATGGGACAGGGTCCGTCCAATAAATACCATCAGACTCTTTTCATACTGAAAAAAAGCACGTGAGAAACATCAGGCAAACATTTTGTCCCAGACACCCAGAGATTTAAGTGAAACATTGCAGCTGAAGATGGAAGAGCTAGGACAGGGGTAGGCAACCTTGGCTCTTTTATGACTCGTGGACTTCAACTCCCAGAATTCCTGAGCCAGCCATGCTGAGGGGACAGGGAGAGGTTTCCAAGCTGAGCCAGGCTGACTCAGGAATTCTGGGAGTTGAAGTCCACGAGTCATAAAAGCCAAGGTTGAGGACCCCTGATATAGGGCAGGGGTAGGCAACCTTGGCTCTTTTATGACTCGTGGACTTCAACTCCCAGAATTCCTGAGCCAGCCATGCTGAGGGGAAAGGGAAAGGTTTCCAAGCTGAGCCATGCTGGCTCAGGAATTCTGGGAGTTGAAGTCCACGAGTCATAAAAGAGCCAAGGTTGCCTACCCCTGAGCTAGGAGATGCACTACTAAGAATAAGGATATTCCTGCCCCCTGGAAGGTTAGCATCAAGGGCTTACATGACAATGAGATGTTCTCTTTGGATTATTTCTGAAGGAACTTCACACACTTTTTTGACGTTCTGGCCAGGGATAATTTTGGATTGCATGAACACATCAGTTACCCATGGTAGAGTCTGGGTTTGCTTTTTTTGGAGTACCGAGTTCTAAATAAGGGAATCTGTAGTGCTTCAGATAAATTTGGAGTGTTGTCTTTGATGACAGAGGCTGATGGAAGCCGGAATCCAATAGTAGCACGAGCTACATCTTTCTGTTTAAAGAGGGAAAAGTTTTTACCTCAGAAGAATGGAAACTGGAGCTCTTGAGGAAAACCAATTAGCTTCAAATTCTGGCCTCTTAACTCTTCCCACAGAGGTGTCTACTGCCTTGTAACTTGGCTACTAATACGCAATCTAGATCAGCGGTTCTCAACCTGTGGGTCGCGACCCCATTTCATGGGGGTCGCCAAACAATGTGATCCGCCATTTTTTCTCCTCAGCCGGCGCAGGGGGTGGCACCGCGCATGTGCGCCGCGCATGGGGGCGCTGGCGTGTGCTTATGACCGGGGTCGCCGGTATAAAAAGGTTGAGAACCACTGATCTAGACAATGGTGACGTGAAGGGAATTAAAAAAAAAAAAGGCAAGATGGCAGTAACAACAACACAACTGAAACGCCAACCCTTTCAGATGTGTGCGCTTACAAAAGGGCAATGCTTGGATTGCAATTTCACAACCACCATTTTGCTTATTTTTGACCCACCTTCTTGGGTACTGTTGGATCTTGGCCAATCTTGGCATTGCTTCCTCCCCCCCCCCCACCACAACTATTTGTCAAGAAGCGTACCTTGTCTCAGAGACAATACGATATTTCAGATCAAATTTGCCACTCACAAATTTCCCGTTGTCTTTTTGTAGTGGTATCTTTTATTCGCCTCGCTAAAGAGAAGTTGTGAACAACGGGGCTCAAAAGAACGTGGCAAAAGCTTTGTCTAAAAATGGAAGGTCTGCGTTGCTCTCTTCTATGGTTTTACAATCTTTACAGGCTCTGATACAATAATGCCAGCAATAATCATTGCCGCTAATAAGCTGGAGATAAAGGATTTTCAGCTAAGCACAACATTTCTGCAGAGAGAGGAAAGTCAGCATGACTTCCCTGAAAATGGCTTTGAAGCAATCTCTTAAGGCAGATACTTTTCTTCACAGACGTTGAGCTCATCGCTTTTTCCCCATTTGAAAATTTCTCACCTTACAGGCAATGTCACAGAATCTCTGTTTTAAAGGAATGTTCTTGAAAGACAGAAGGCAAGAGTTTGGTGCATTTTCCACACGTTGGGCCAGATGCCTGCTTTGGCAACTTCAGATACCAATATCTGGCTTGAGACGGTCTGTGGCAAAAAGCAGCTCCAGAACGTTAAGTGGTGTCAGGAGTGTGGTAGAGAGAACAATTACCTGGAAGCAAAAGATATATGCATATATGGTTAGGATGACCAGCTTTTGCTACCTCCATCAGTGATTGAAATCCTCAGTGATGAAGAATTGTGGGTCTATGAGCAAATAAACTAAAATGGTTTTCCCTTCAGCATACAATTCATAGGCAAACTTTCTACCAATGGAAGAATTTCAATCATAAGAATTGCTATAATTCACTAAGTTAGTAGTAGAAGAGTTGAGTATTATTATTATTGTTGCTGTTGTTGTTATTCACACATTCAGCCAGATGTTCAGACTGGGTTTGGCATTTTTGTCTACCTATCGAGTCCTTACCAAGGACCTGGGATAGGCAGATCTGGATGTTTGACGGTGTTACAGATACAGATATCGTCGCAAGCTGTTCTCAATAAAGGTGCCTTTTGCAATTGACTGATGGCGGATTTGTCAATGCCGATGGTGTTCAAGTGATGCTCCAGTTGTTTTGGGATTGCACTCAGGGCGCCTATAACGTTATTATTGTTGATGTTGTTGTTGTAGTGGATTGCCCTTACAGTTTTCCTCCAACATGTGCTCAATGGATTTGCTACGTCACATTTTCCTATTTGAATGGAAGCTAATGTTGCCTATTGAATGTGCGTTCGCTGTTGTAGAATCGAAATTAAAAAATGTACTACTACTGCATTCATATCTGGAGCACTAAAGCGCTTCTGGATTGAAAGGATTGAACAGTGACATCACCACTGCCTTGGGGATGCCCAGTTGAAGGCTCCTTACCTGTCCCCATTAAGTTGCCCACCAAAGTGGTACCCATTTATTTACTCGCAGCTGCCCATTTTCAAACTGCTGACTCGGCAGTAGCTGGAGTACGTGATGAGAGTTCATCCCATCTCGTGGCAGCAACCAAATGCAAGCCCGCCGATTGTCAGCCCAGCATCCTAACCTTGGGAGTCCCCGCTTGCCTTGAAAATGTTAATTTGTGATTTTCTATGCCATCCTTCCTACTGGTACAAAAAGAAAATTCCAGGGGAATGTTTGCCACTTAGATGTCTTCCTAATGAGCTGACACAAAGATGAAAGATGATGTAAGGGATGTGCATTTCAGAAAGTATGTCATTTGCATAAGTTATGACTAGAGAGAGAAAAAAGCCATTGCCAAGGCATTGAACAAATAAACAGGATTCAAGCTCATGCAATGACAGAGATTTACAAAAATGCCAAAAACAGGTGCCCTTCTAATTCACATGAATTTAAGAGGGAGAAGGAGACACATTCTAGACTTGCAAGATTCTGTTACTATAGCCCAAGGTAGGCAATCTTGGCTCTTTTATGACTCGTGAACTTCAACTCCCAGAATTCCTGAGCCAGCATGGCTCAGCTTCGAAACTCTCCCTTTCCCCTCAGCATGGCTGGCTCAGGAATTCTGGGAGTTGAAGTCCACGAGTCATAAAAGAGCCAAGGTTGTCTACCCCTGCTATAGCCATTCCAATAACTTTAATTTTAGACCTAGACAGTATTTGTTTCTTGATTGGGTCAACCTTGTACGGCTATTAGTGACTGACATTAATGGACAGGACTATCATGGCTTATATCAGTTATATGCTTATGTATGTTGAGACTAGACATCTTTTAATCATCATCTAGCCTAGCCTTCATACAAAGATATTGCGCTACAGACTTTTGGTGGACCCAGACAGTTCTTGCTTCTCTTCAGCTCCAATCTGTTCTATTATTTAGGCCAGTGGTGGCGAACCTATGGCACGCATGCCAGAGGCGGCACTCGGAGCCCTCTCTGTGGGCACGCGTGCCGTTGCCTCAGCCTCGCCTCCCCTCACGACCCACTCCTCACCAGCAGCCCCCCTGGAGGAGAGTCGCCCCCGAGCGTGGCCTACACGGAGCAGTGCAGCCAAGGACATGGCAGCCAGGCAGCGTAGACAAGACTCTGCCCTCACGCCCATCCCGCACAGTTGATGCTGCGGGGCACGGGCAAAGGGCGTGGCCGCCATGTCGCTGCTGGGCTGTCTCGGCAATCTGCGGCGGGCCCTGGAGGCAGTGAGTGGTCCTGCGGGTAGGCGGGGTGGGGGCGGGGCAGGGGGTGGAGCAGGGCGGGGCCAGTTTGTGGGCACTCGGTCTCTAAAAGGTTCGCCATCACTGATATAGAGCAATCTAAAGCTAAATACACCTAATAATCATCTTGGCTAAATCAGCCATCACTGATTTAGCCAATTCACTGCTGAGAAAGCAAGACCATCACTTTCTCTCTGTCACAGGGCGATTCTTGCACTGGTGTTTCTGCCTAACCAAGGTTACCAAGAAATACTTTACATGCAGCTCAAACATTTATGATCAAGATTTTGTTTATATATGCAGTAAGGCTGTCAGGCTACTAAGCACTTTAGTTGATTAAAGACCTTTTTAATTGATTAAACTTTGTATATTACTAAATCTCAGCATAATTCCTTCTTGAGATATGCACGAATTAATAGTCAAAAGTTCCCGTTCGCTGCTAGAAACTAAAGCCATTTTTAATATTTTTTTCATCACAGTAATATGCGAAATGGCACAGGAGAATGAAAAACTAAATATGAAAATGTACTTTGATCTTTCTGATTAAAATTTGCCCCACTGACCAAACAATATTTTCAATCGAAGCTACGGATTAGAATTTTAACATTAACATTAATTAATATTTGTTCTCGGGCACAACTGATATACAGTCTCATGCATTTATAATCCAGTACAGTTATTACTGTAATAATCAAAGTCATAATTTCATTTTTTGCAGAATCTTCTGTCTCTGAGATAACAACAAAAATTGTGCTCACCCCTTTAAAAAAAATTGTGTCATAAACATTTAAGTGATCGGCATGAATCCAGATCTGATTGCTATTATGTGAATTACAGTATATTCTACGTCTCTATAACTAGTTAAATTTGCTTGCATTTCAGTCACATATTGGAAGTGAGCTATATCAACAACTGTTTTGGTTCGTGGTAAAAAAATACTCCAATTTTTACATATTTAATCTAATTCTTGTTTAAAGCGACACTGGTTCATTATGGAACACAGCATCCAGATCCTCTTAGTTTTCTGGAGGGCTGTGAAAATCCTTGCCAGATTGCTAGATGAACCCCATACAGGTATAATTTGTACTGGTTGGTTCTATTACATGGTGCCTTGGCTATATACAATATCTATATAAATAGTAAACTGCTTAATATTCAAAACAGCTATCTATTTGAAAACATCATCTAGCACAGGGGGTAAATATTCAGAGACCTACAGAAACGCAGCTTAAACGCAACAACTTTGAAATGTTTTTGCACGAAAGCTCCACATTTATTTATTTTTGTTTGAAATGACTAACTCAGAATTCTTTTTTCCCTCCCCTTGTAAAGCTCTTAAGTACGGTGTTTCTCAATCTTGCTGACTTGCTGGATTTCAACTAACAGAATTTCCCGCCGTGCTGGGATCCACACATCTTAAAGTCACCAAGGGTGAGGAACGCACTACTCCGGTGTAACAGCTTTGCACAGAGGACACGTAATGGTAAAAGCCTCTGAATTCTTTCTCTCTCAAGCTGACCCATCACCACCAGGGTCAATCCCAAGCAAAGCCACAGCCGATTCAGCGCCATTCTTTGTCAAACCTCAATCCCTCTCCGATGGGAATCCCAAAACTTGGCTACGCCATTTTCTCTCTCATCACCCATTAAACCTCTGCTTATCTTTCAAGGCAGAGTAATACATTTGGAGTCTGGATTAACTTGTCCATCAGTGTGTCACAAATTCAAGACCTGCCTTAGACAGCAAAGAAGTTGATTCACTGCTCTAAGGAGATAATTGGGAGGTTAAGTGCAAAGAAAAAAAAAAGGCATGTTATCAGATGAAAATGTGTTTCTAGAGAAGTATTTAAATCTCAGGAACAATTAAATGAGCTCCGAAGTCAAGAATGCCATTAACATAGAGGAGGCATTTAATCCAGGCCTACAGGTACTCAGTGTTATGTGGGCCCTCCTACAATAGCTTCATTATTAACAAATGGCCAGCGTGCTTTATGATACATTCCATATATAAAGCGTATGTAATTTAGGATATAAAGGAGCTTAGGTGGAAAGGAAGGATGATATCTATCTGACTTCCTATTGCTGTTGGCAGCACTGGATTTAGAAGAAAAAGATGGGAAACTCTTAGTATCTTTCTATAACGGTGAACGTTTTTAGAGTTGGAGCCAAAGGTTTATGCAGAAAACTTATATACGCCATGAAGTCTTTTATAAATATCTGTATATAAGTATGGGCGGCATATAAATTTTACTAATAAATAAATAAATAAATAAGAAAAACGATGGACAATCCACACCCAGAAGTCTGAAAAACAGCACCACGCTGCTTATTAGAATTCTCCAGAAACTTCTGTCCAGCTCACAAGTTCCTAAGGGCAGGTGAATAATTCCAAAGAGTTCAAAAGCATCCATGTACTTTAATGATTTTAGACCAGGGGTCTTCACACTTGGCCCTTTTATGACTTGTAGACTTCAACTCCCAGAATTCCTCAGCCAGCGTGCCTGGCTGAGGAATTCTGGGAGTTGAAGTCCACAAGTCATAAAAGGGCCGAGTTTGAAGACCCCTGTTTTAGACCCTTCCCTTCAGGAGCTTTCATCAATTACTTGTCTTCCAAATCTGATAATCCGTGACTTTCGTTATTAATCTTAAAGGAGGAGAACTTCTGCTGTGAAGGCTTGCTTGAAAATACCGCTACTTCAGAAAAAAGCTGAATGGCATTACACACACTTCACTTCTGATCTCCTCATTCCCCATCCAAACCAAATGGGCATTGCCCTGACTCTTTCTTAATCCCTTAAGTCTTCTTCTACCTGGCAACAGTACAACTGGATTGTCTAGAGCAAGGGTAGGCAACTTTGGCTCTTTTATGACTCGTGGACATCAACTCCCAGAATTCCTGAGCCAGCCATGCTGAGGGGAAAGGGAGAGGTTTCCATGCTGAGCCATGCTGGCTCAGGAATTCTGGGAGTTGAAGTCCACGAGTCATAAAAGAGCCAAGGTTGCCTACCCCTGGTCTAGAGCCAGGGTCTCCAACCCTGGCGACTTTAAGACTTGTGGACTTCAACTCCCAGAATTCCTCAGCCTGCATGGCTGGCTGAAGAATTCTGGGAGTTGGAGTCCACAAGTCTTAAAGTCGCCAAGGTTGGAGACCCCTAGCCTAGAGCAAATTGTCCTCTTTTTCATACCAGCTATTTTATTATTTCTTACTTCATCATATATTCCAGGAGTGTCAAATTCAATTTCATTGAGGGCCGCATCAGCACTGCGGTTGCCCTTGGGGGGGCTGGGTGGGTGCGGCCTACTGGGTGGGCGTGGATGGAGTGGGTGTGGCCTACTGGGTTGGCATGGCCAGCTCTACATCGTTCGCATCAGTGGTGCCTGTGAGGGCCTGGGCAGGAATGGGACAGATCTGAGGGTCTCTGGCAGAAGGGGGTGGGACCGGGGCAAGCGCCAAGGCATGGTCCATTTCTTCATTCCTCACAAAGGGTGACACCTCCCCAGCATGCACCCAGGCGATGGGGCCGACACGGGAGAGGCTAGTTCCTTGCTGTTTCTAGTCAGCCTTGTGGAGCTAAGACTGAATGCGTTTCAGCAAAGATGGCCACCACAAAATTGTACATTGTCTCCCGGCCGGCCAGGGCCAAGGCAGCGGGGGCCATTCCCTCACTGTTTCCAGGATGGCTTCGAGGGCTACATGAAATCACTTCGCAGGCCGCATCCGGCCCCAGGCCTTGTGTTTGACATGTCATATATTCCATACCTCTACTCTGGGCTTGTGCACTGCTACAAGATCCTTTATCATTCGGACTTCAGATACTGTTACGCCACCAACCATGAAGAGGACCAGCATAGGATGATCACTTGGGTGGGGTCGGCTCACCTAATCAAGAAAGAGAATAAATGTTTATGGAATCTGATCTTTAACCCTCTGGCCTGGTGGGGACTCCAAAAGAGAACTAAAAGCAACATCTCTCTTTAACAGCCTGCAGGGCAGAAAAGACACACTAAGGACTCACCACTACCACCAGGTTCCCTCTGTTCAATATAATCCCTTATTGCTCTAATTACTAGGCATGAGTTTCAAAACAAGGCTATTCTATTAACAGCCCATAATGTTTTACTCTATCTACTTTCCACTTTTATCTATCTGTCCTTGCTAATTTTGCAGTCTGAGTCTCCAAGATTGCTGGGCCAGATCTAAAGGAGAATGATGCTACTCTGGATGGGTAACTCGCTTGACTGCCTTTTAATTCTTCTCCCGCAGGGTGATGAAAACTAAATAACCAAAGAAAGCAAATGTGGTTTGCTTCTTGGCCTGTTGCTTGCTTGCTTCCTTCTGTGAAAAGTATGATGGTTTTATCCAAAGACTTTCTGATTTTCGTACAGTATAATACTTCTGCATTACCGAAGTATTACACTGATTTTTTTAAAAAAAGAACAGCAATATTGTCTCGCTATAAATATAGAGCAATGGTGATGCTGTAGTATTGACATTGATTAGCGACTGGGTGAATTTAACAAATACAGAAATACTTCATTTGGAAGGCTGGGACCTACTTTTTGGATGGCATGCCTATTTAATATTTAATAAAAAAGTGGATTGGGTTTTTAAGTCTCATATTATAAGAAACTCTTTGCTAAGAGTGTGGAGAAAGTATTATAAAAGTGACTTCAAAATACCATTATGGGCTATACCTCGGCATGCCATAGAAGGTATAAGGAAAGGGGTAAATATGGACAAGGTCTCTTACGTACAGTTATTAAGATGGGATGGCCAAGACTGGCAGTTAAAATCTTTGGAAGAATTAACACATGAAAACTTAACTTATTCATGGTTCCAATATAGACAAATAGTGGATAGATGGAAGATGGATTGTAAAATGGGCTGGCTTAGAGAAGATGAAATTTTTTTAAAACAAGTAAGAGATCAAAGGCCAACCCATATTAAGAGAGTTTATGGGGTTTTAGTGGAATTAGATTCAGAACCTGAACTAGTTAAAGATTGTATGATTAAATGGGCACAGAATATTGGTGAAACGATTTCAATGGATACTTGGGAACTTATTTGGATAAGAAATGTTAAATTCACACAAGCGCAAAATTTAAGAGAGAATTTTTATAAGATGTTTTATAGATGGCACCTTGACCCAAAGAAAATGTCCATTATGTACCCTAATCTACAGCCGAAATGCTGGAGATGTGGATATTTGGATGCTACCTATTACCATATTTGGTGGACGTGTAAGCATATAAAAGCTTTTTGGATTAAGATATGGTGGAATATTCAAAGAATTTTTAAAAGGAGGGTAAAATTTACTCCGCAATTATTTTTACTAGGTATTGTTATTGACTGTGATGCTAAGGAGGTTATATTGATGTTAAATTTGATTACAGCCGCTAGGTTGTTAATAGGACAATATTGGAAGAAGGAATCTTTGCCTACTTTACAAGAATGGTTTCATAAAGTTTCGTATTTGGCAGAAATGGCAAAGATTTCGGCTTTCCTAAAGGAGCAATCTCAAGAAAAATTTTTTGTGGTATGGGAAAAATGGATAAATTTTATACAACACAATTTGGATATGGAAAAATATTATTTAGCCTTTTTATAATTTGTAATGATTGTTTTTTCTTTCTTTCTTTCTTCTTTTTCTTTTTTATATATATACATTTTTTTACGTATTATTATTCATATATATATATATATATTTTTTTTATATATATATATGTTTTATTCTTCGTCTACTTTCTTCTTTTTTCTTTCTCTCTCTCTCTTCTTTTTTTATTTTTTTTTTCTTTTTTAGTATATATTATTCATTTTAAAGTTTATGTTATGCATATTATTATTATATATATTATTACTGTGATTATTATTATTATTAATTATTTTATAAATTGCAAATGTTATTTTTAAAATATTTGTTAAATAATCCTATATTCAGTTCTGGGAAGTCGGGGGGGGTGGGGTGGTTGGGGAGGGGAGGGTGGATTCTTATTTGTAAAACTTTTGAAAAATTTTAATAAAAAAAAAAAAAAAAATATAGAGCAATGGTGGCGAACCTATGGCACGTGTGCCAGAGGCAGCACTTGGAGCCCTCTCTGTGGGCACACGTGTCGTCGCTCCAGCCTTGCCTCCCCCCACGACCCCCTCCTCACCAGCAGCCCCCCTGGAGGAGAGTCACCCACGAGTGTGGACCATGTGGAGCAGCGCAGCCAAGAACATGGCAGCCAGGCAGCGTAGACAAGACTCTGCCCTCACACCCCATCATGCACAGTTGATGCTGCGGGGCACGGGCAGAGGGCGTGGCCGCAATGGTGGTGCTGGGCTGCCTGGGCGATCTGCGGTGGGCCCTGGAGGCGGTGAGTGGTCCTGCGGGCAGGCGGGGTGGGGCGGGGCAGGGGGTGGAGCGGGGGCATGGCCAGTTTTTGGACACTCGGTCTCTAAAAGGTTCGCCACCACTGATATAGAGCAATCTAAAGCTAAATACACCTAATAATCATCTTGTTGCCTATTACTAATAATACTGCCTAATATTATTAATTTTGCTGCTAATGTTTCCATGTTTAAATAATTAAAAATGAATAAATTTAAATAAATAAATAGGTTTGAACTTGTAGTTTGGAGTGTTTTCTCTCAGATTTCGACAGCTAACGCTAAGCTGATGGAAGCAGAATCAGAATCTTAATAAAGTTATATAAAAAAAATATGTACCAGAACTAAAGTGGGTTCAGAGAACAATTCCCGGCTGCGGAAAACTAGCTCAGGTATAGATTTGTTGCAGGTTCCTGAAAAGATCATAATCAGCAACTGCTCTCATTTCTAAAGTGGGAATAACTGTGACCTATTTACAATGTTTATTAAAAGATGATAATGTGCTAAAACACACACATTAAAATCCAATATAGACTTACAGTACATGCTCTTCAGTGTATTAATTTTAAAGGGCTTAACAGTAAATATCTGTACAAAAGGGTGACACAGAAGAGAAAAATATAATTACAAAGTGGGTTTTTTTGGTTAACAGATTGTTGGTATTTTAAGAATGTGCCAATTAACCCATCTCATACAGGAGATTGTTCAGCCTTTCCGGGTCAAGGAAAAAAAAACCCTCTTCAAAGCTTCCCACAATCTCAAGATTCAGAAAAAAGCCAAAATGATAAAAAAAAAGGATCTATCCTTGCCTTTGCCGCAAAATTGGGCTCATTTGAAGTGTCATAATCTCTTACACATTTATTTTGAGGATAAATACCTATATTTTATGCCAAGGTAATGATTTAATAGCTAAACAGCTTATGTAATGATGTAATGTAATATAAGGTGAATGATGCAATAATAGGAATGACTCAGCAGGGTCTGTGTCGCTTTAAGAGCCTGAGTATAAAAGGGAAGGCTTTTGCTGGATTGTTTCTCTCTCTTCTGTTTCCTGCTGTAGCTGCTGTGTGTTGGATCCTACTGTATTAACACGTGTATGCGTATTGTTCCTGATGTATGATATTGTAGATAGTGTAATATAAACCACCATTTAATATAGACAACTATTTACTGTGTTTATTCTTGGGTTATCTCAGCACAATAAGACTCTGACATTTTTTAATCTCTCAGTCACCCCCTCAGAATGATACATTTGAGATCTCTTTGATATTGAAGTATCGGTTTGATGTTGACATCCCTTTCTTTCTTATCCCTTATCTATTCTTTCATTCTGCCTCTCAGTCAGAAGATTATAAATAATTAGGCATTTGAACAATACACTGTATGAACAGATAACATATCATTTATTTCTCTTGAAAGAAATCAATCAACAACACTCTTCCTTCCCCCTTTAATCATAAAACGATTGTCAAAAGGGCTTATATGCAGCTACTAGAGACGGCTGCAAATATCCACAGGACCACCAATAGGGAGAGATACCAAACACTGATAATCTTGTACTAGCATATGATGATCATTTGGGGGCATGGCCAAATTATTTGGTAGTCCCAGATTATATTCTTTTCTTTTCCTTTTACTCTGAACAATATACTACTACTTCTCTAGTCTCTTAATTGCCTGCTCCCACACATTCTCTTAGCTTCCCGGAAATGACCAGTTAATCCTTGATTTGCATTCTAAGCAAACAACCAATTTATTTCATCACATCCTCATGCTTGCATCTAGGATACTACTGGAGACCTAATGCACACATAACTTGGAATATACATTCCAAAGCACCAGAAGGCAAGACAAGAAACAACGATGGAAACTAATCAAGGGGAGAAGCAACCTGGAATTAAGCAGAAACTTCCTAACAGTGAGAATAATTAACCAGTGGAACAGCTGCCTTCAGAAGTTGTGGGTGCTTCATCACTGGAGGTTTTTAAGAAGAGACTGGACAGTTACTTGTCTGAAATGGTATAGGGTCTCCTGCTTGAGCAGGGGGTTGGACTAGAAGACCTCCAAGGTTCCTTCCAGCTCTATTCTGATTGATTGATAAATATTCAGTTCCCATGGCTGTCATCCTAAACACTTCCTCATGGCCAACTGCTTCCCTAATGTCTTGTGGTTATTTCTCAGAGAATTAGTAACAAAAGCGAAAATTCTCAGAGGATATTATTCTCTTAAACTACATGCTTACTACATGGAATTTGACAACTTAGCACATGGAATTTGACAACTGGACAGCATAAATGAATTCTCCGTGCTATGGCCCAAAAGACTGATATTACAGAATTGGAAAGATACCTCCGTGGCTCCTTTCTCTCAATGGATCTAAGACCTGATTGGACATGACACCTATGTGTAGATTGTCTATAGACATAGACTTTGGATGGATGAGTGGAATGAAATATGAGATTCATTTATACATAATATAAATTAAATTAAAAAGGATAAAAATGTATTAG